CTCATTAGCATATCTCATTAGTGTTATTTGTAGTAAATCCACCATAACTGTCTTATAACATAGCTTACTACAAAAATTCTAGTATATCAGTGATACAGTTTGTTCCCTGACACATAATTTCCAAGAGAAAGAGCTTGATTTAATTTAATCAATGCAAAAATAAGATTAGCCTTGTATACCCAAGATCATTACACAACTCAGTTAAACAAATATTAACTTAATGCCTACTATTTGTAAAGCACTGGAATAAGAGTTATAAATCCCTGACATTTGTATAATCCTCTGGTGTAGTATTATATTAACTCTTCACATAAACTCTACTTGGTTATCTTCATTTTACAGTTGGGGAACTGAGGCTGTGAGGGACACTAAAGGCCACCAAGCTAACAAGTGTTAGAGTCAGATTTAGTGACTTCTAATGAATAAAATGTTATGGAAGTAATGTCTAGTAGTGATTTTTATTGCAGGTTATAAAAAGGATAACTGGTGGATTCTTACTCCCTTTCTCACATTCTCTCTGACTCTCTCCCCATTTCTTAACCTTCATTTCTCTCAAATCACTCATTCTTGAGCCACTCAAGCAGCTCAAGCAGCTCTGTACAGAGGCTCATTTGGGGAGAAACTGAGGCTTTCCACCAAAACCCAGCAGTCACGTGTCCATCATGATTAGAATACACCCTGGAAATAAATCCTTCAGCCCCAACCAAGTCTTTTTATCTTTTGGTACCAGGGATCGAACTCAGGACCTTGCGCTTGTGAGGCAGGCGGTGGAACCACTGAGCTAAATCCCCGGCCCCTAACCAAGTCTTTAGGTGATGGCAGTCCTAACTGAAACCTTGTCTGCTGCATTTGGCCAGTTGAATTGTTTTTAAATTCCTAACACAAAGAGAGCATGAGACCATATTGTTTTAAGCCGCTAAGTTTTGGGTGATTACTTATGCAACATAGATTGCCAATGGATCTAGCCAAAATTATGACATAACCATAATGAGTAGATGAATGATTAAAGTGTATTTTCTATGCTCATATGATATAGGGAGGCTATTTTTTTTCTTAATTTTTACAGTGATAGACTAGTGACATATAACTAGTGTTCTCTGATCTATCTTTAAAAATGAGTAGAGGTAGATTAAAAGAAAAAAAAACATTTAGAGGAAAAAGAAAACAAGAGATCATTTACTTTAAGTCCTTCTTGTCCAAGTGATTTAGAAGAAGGTACTCAAAAATAGTTTTGGTTTTTTGAGACAGGGTCTTACTTTGTAGTTCGGGCTGCTCCTGAACTCACTGTGTATCCCAGGCTGGCCTTGAACTTGTGGCGAGCCTCCTGTCTAAGTCCCCCAAGTGCTGGGATTACAGTGTGAGTCACCATGCCTGGCTTTTTTTTTTTTTTCTTGTACTTGGGATCAAACTCAGGACCTTGTGGTTGCCAGGCAGGAGCGGTGCTGCTGAGCTAAATTCCCAGCCTGGCTTTTTAAAAATCACATATATTTAGTCTTATGGTATTGTTTAAATTATGACTGATCAAAATAACACATGCATAGTTAAACAATATATCATCAAAAGCAGTCCTGTGCCAACTTTCTCAACTCTTATTCCCCGAAAACATCCGTATTTACCTTTTTAACTTACATTTTCTGATAACTGCCTTCATATTCCAAGATGATAAGGTTATGGTTTTTTTTCTTGTCTTTTTTTTTTTTTTGGTACTGGGGATTGAACTCGGGTCCTTGCGCTTGCGCAGCAGGTGGCGAAGCCACTGAGCTAAATCCCTGGCCCCCTTTTTTTCTTGATATATTAACTTCAGAGAGTATTTACTGATTTCCCATTGTGGTCATTGGAAATTTCTTTCTTATCCTTAAACACTTTAATTTTCCAATTACAAATTTTCAGTTAAAACAATATTTAGTATTTATACCTTTATGACTGTAAATATTGTTCAATGGTGAGTCAAATAATGTACAATGATTATCTGCCCCATACAGATTGTTTTCTTGGAGTTATTTCCTTTTCTTAATTTTTTTGTATGTACTATTTGTTCCTAAAGCATTAATAGAGTCTACCTAAAGACTAGCAACAACTGTTGCCAGCTCTCAAAAACACCAAATAATCCATCAGTTCAATTTGTTTCCCTTCTGAACACCTCCCTCCACAGCAATCTATTCTCTTGCTCTAATCTACACCGGTTGCACTGTAGCACAGGTGTCCTGGTAGGACTTTCCTTAGTCATTTTGATTTTGTGATTGTTTTTATTTGGTAGTGGGGATCAAACTTGGGACCTTGTGTTTGCAAGGCAGGTGGTGGAACCACTGAGCTAAATCCCTGGCCTTTGTGATTGTTTTTGAAAGAGAATTTGTTAATGTGAATATAACTAAAATGAGGAAGCATTAATATTTTAAAGAAAACCTTCTATGTCCTAGATTCACCAGTCTGTGAGGTCACATAAAATGAAGTTACATTTACTTTTGATACCCAAATTATAGTAGTCATGCCTTTATAATTTGAATATAGGATGTCAGTATGATCACCTTTGCAAAGTGCTCCCTGAGTTTTTCTAGGGGTGCTTACTAGAAGTAGTCACATGTGCTCACTAACTAATTTACCTACTGGTTTCCAAGAAGTGCTTGCTATGTTCTTTCTCTTCTTCTTCAGCACCCTGGCCAATGTGTATTGCATTAGGTACTTGTTTAAATATGTTGATAGTATTCTTCATTGCTGATGGTATTACTCAGGGTAGGCTTTATATGTACCAAGGGTGTTTTCTCTTAATGTTTCCATTTTCAAGAATACTAGGAGGTACAAGGCTGAATGGGTGGTAATGTGAATGACCCTTTCTCCAATTCTGTATTACTTTCTCTCTTCCTCTCTTCCACTGGTTAAGTCCAGAATCCGTGAGTCTTTTAGCTTCACTTCTTTGTAGTTTTTAACTTACATACTCCCTTATCACCTTTCATTCACATCCAAAGAAATTAATAGTAACAAGTAACTGCTAACCACCATCTCTCTAGATATAACACAGAAGCTAGACAATGTAAAAACACAGCTCAATCACATATAGCAGTATCCCTTATCTGAGG